TTACAAACTTATCAATTAAGAGTCAGATTATTACCTCTTGTCTACCTAGTTCGTTTTCTTCTGCTTCTGATGTATTATCAATTAGTGATCACATTATTAGCGTCTTCCTGTTCCTTCTCTATCTATACTCTATTAATTAGCACTCTTACTATATACAGAGAGATTGTATTTTTCTTTTCTGTTTTTCCTGATGATGATAAGTGTCTCTTATCGAAAGCTTGAATAAACCATATTACAATTGATTTTTGTAGCAGTGTTATACTCAATAATTACTAAACCAGGTGTTTAAATAGTTATATGAGAACAATTTGGCATTCGACTGGCACAGCTACATTTTAAACCACATTTTCGATCGTGAAAATGGACAGTATAAACGTTCTGATGGTCCGTAGATCGCATATTCAAAACTTTGGCCTTAGAATCGAAGGAAACCAAATCTAGGTCGAACAGCAAGCGGGCTTTTTCAACTCTTGTCATTGATTCTGGCACTCGCCAAAGCTGAGGTGATGAAGGTGTTGATCCAGTTTGTGAGGGACGTTGTTGTGCATTCTGGGATTCATTGTCATTGCTATCATTGTTATTATCATTGATATTTGTATCAGAATTCTAAAAAATACCAAAATAATGTGACAATAAAACAAGCATGTAATGATCCAATAGATCTCTGAAGAGATAATATCTAAATCTTACTGTAAACGTTGAAAAAGCATTTGATAAACTGGATGATGTTAATTTAGCTCGCTCTCTGATATCGATCAATATTTTCTCGGGATCAAATTGTGTAACCGTTGGAATTGTCGATGGTTCAATCTCATAACATTTATTCGTTGATGTTAAATGAAAATTGCCTAAACTCAAAGAAAATGGATTGTTAACAAATAAGGCAATGAACATTTAACAACAACTTATCCCGATCGCTGTAACCACGGATAATCTCATTCACATAATATCCCATACACAAGTAAGACTTTTGGATAAATGTGTCGACCGATGTCTAAAACATACGAAAAAATGCACATCTGAACCATCAGTCAAAAGTAACATACCTCTTTCCATTCAATCCACCGTTTGACTTTGGCATTTATACTTTCAGCACCATTCGATGCACTTCCGCTTATTTCTCGTCCACTCTAAAATCCTAAAACAATAATTGAACTAATAATAGATGTTCCGATTTCCCATCAAGCATTCAGCAGAGAAATTATGGAAATGAGAAACGAAAACAGCAACGATGAAAATTCTTTCTCTTTCTGGTACGTCAGATGTATGGTTTTATTGATTATTGTGTCTTGCGAAGATAAGTCGACTGGTCTTACACAGAATAGTTTTCGCTCAAAGAGTCAGCAGAGAGACTCTCGAAATGAGGCAAGTCGACTTGTCCTGTGATGATAAGGGGTGCACGCGTTTGGTAAAGAATATGGCCAGGACGTCACGTACCTAGCTCGTCAATTACCGGTAGATGATATGTTGTTATATAATTGTAAATGTTGCATGCCATGAAGATTTTTTTTGTTCGAAGCCTATAACATCAACACAAATGACGAAAAATGGTGCTGCACATAGAAGAAAAATCACAAGATCAAAAGGAAGACAGTATTTAAATCACTCACGTTGAAGAAACTGTTGTTTTGTTTCACTTTCTAAGAGTTCAATAATGTCGTCCAAATGTTTGTGTATGTAGCTCCTTTTTGCTAATTTGTATAAATCATCTGGTGTTTGATTCACTGTTGCCACTTCACTGTAATGCTCTGTTCGTTTTATTGAATTCGTTTCGTAACCAAAGCTTTACATCCTAAGATAAATCAAAATTACATATAAAAATTAGACTAGGTAATACTTTTTTTTAGGTGTCTTACTTTTCTGTAATGGTTTAGACAGCGAATATGATGTAGCTTGGGGAACGCGGAATGAAATGCATTTTTAAATGCTAATTCGCCATCACTAATTAATACCTATGATAAATAAAAAAGAAAAGGAACAATATAATGAATATATAAAAACAAATAACATCCAATATCAAACGTTGTATCATACAATAAAGGAATTTTTGTGGTTACTGGTGTCCTTGCCAACAACGTTGAAAATTGTTCTTCTCCTTGCTCATGCATAAAAACGGTGGCTAAATCGAGGAATGAACAGACACGAATAAAGTTGTTTATTTGGTAGGAGAGCTGGACTGCATTGAATAATTCATCATTTGACAGACGTTGTTTTTTCAAATGTTTTTGTCGTTGATATTTTACTTGAGGTAAATTACGTGGTTCATCAGCTGATGCGGTTGAAATTAACTGTTCATATATATCAGCAGCTGTTTTTGATTTGACTGCTTCAGCTATTTTTGTGGTTATCGATGGTAAACTTCGACGATAGTTATGAGCTATTGACGATTTAGAATTACCATGAGGAGCTTGCTTTGCAATGCTTTTGAGTCCTTAAAAAAGCTTAAAATATGCATAAACAAAATTATTCAGATTCTCATAATTAGAACTGACCTATTAGGAATGCCAGCATTCCTAAAAGCTTTAGTGAGTGTGTCATGCATGCCTTTTGTCATTCTTTCCTTGATTATTGTTGTTAGTGTGTCATGCATTCCTTTCATCATTGCTTTTCATCTTTTTCGCTTTTCTTATCAGTGTTCCTTGATATAGATAAAAGGGAACTACTTTTCCGTTTTTTGGTATTCGTTTTTTTTTCTGACATGGAAGTCAGCGGTTTTTTGTTGTGAGGGAGAATCAAATTAAACGTTGAACATAACATGACCTGTATAAATTACTATGACATCAAATGGGCTGGAGTTTGAAACATACATATCTTTCACAAAGCGATAGTCAACAACTCCATAATCATTGAAACAAACAAAATAATGTTTCTGAAAGAGTTTTGATTTTTTGGGCCAATTGTGAGCACCATTATTTTCGATATATACCGGTCGTATCTCCAATCAGCTATAATAAAGAAAAATGTAAATTGTCTACAGAGGTGAGAGTACAGTTAGAACCGGACCGCTTAGGAAAAAAACTATTTCATCAAAAAAGGAAAAGAGGAGTGATAATTAAAACTTTGACGAAATTTGAAAAGCTGTGGCATTTTTCAGCAGTTTTTTGCGTGAAATTTCAGATTTTACCACCTTTGAATAAAGTTTCAGATAATTCAGGACATACTTTAAAAATTAGAAGGAGTGAACATGGTACCGGGTAAATATAGGTAAATATAGTTTTAGGTTGTGGTTTTCCCAGCCTTATGGAAGAAAAAACTGTTTCTCCGTAGCATCACAGTTTCTTTTTCAAATCTATATTTGTTTTTGTATGTTTTAGTTGATCGTCGAGCTAACCGATCCTATGCAGCAAAACAAACGACAACAGCATAATTGTCGACGTCACCACTAATTCAGGCAACAACATTAAATTTTCTGCTAGCAACATCCACCAACATTCCATTAGCACCCGTGAAAATGATTCGACAGGAAGCAAAACTCACCGTTTAGATCAGCAACAGCATCTCCAGTCATTTCATTAACAACATCGACAATAGTCCCATTTCACAACTTAACCAATGTTATGCCGTTTTCATGGTCATTGACGCCCGAAAAATATATTGAGAAAATGAATTATATATAAATTAATTAAATATATTTGAGGAAATGAATTTTGCAGATGGTGGTCGCGAAAGAAAATTAGTCTTTAATGGCCATATGTTATTAGGGTAAGTTGCTTTCCGCAGCACCAGTCGACTGCTTGTTTTAGTGCGACACCTATGTTTTTGTCCTGGTGAAATATTTTATGACTCCATTTATCTAGAAATATAAAACCAGGTTTACCGACTTTTTGTGAGATGTGAACACCAAGAAAACTTTCATGGTAAACCTGGTTTTATATTTCTAGATAAAAGGAGTCATAAAATATTTCACCAGGACAAAAACATAGGTGTCGCACTAAAACAAGCAGTCGACTGGTGCTGCGGAAAGCAAGTTACCCTAATAACATATGGCCATTAAAGACTAATTTTCTTTCGCGACCACCATCTGCAAACTCCGGCAAAAATTTGTCTTGCACACGCGTCTCCACTGCACGTAATACGAGTCCAGTTCACTGAAAGACTATCAGTTTAGGCAAACGATCTAATTGACAGCCAATCCTTCGGTGCAAGTCGACTTGACTCAAAGACTATCAGTTTATTTATCTGTTCAGTGAAAGTTACTGATATTCAAAAGAAGTATCACGTGAAGTATAACAACAAATAATTGGTAAATAACAAAGACTTTTTTTATATACAAAAGTGAATTGAAGTGAAAAGAGGTAGTTATTTTCAAAAGTTTAACATGGGAAGAAGAATACAACAGATGACTCTTATGCATAATAAAAGAATAGAACAGGAATTGGTTGTTATTTTTTATTTTCTTCTTTTTCCGGTCACTTTTTCATTTGCTGATAAAGCATCTTGCAGGTTCAATTTTCTTTAAAAGAAACAGAATAACTGAGAGATACAGGTACGAAAATGTGTAGTATAATACCTGCTTTTTTTCTGCCTATCGGTGCTTTCTTTTGCCGCTATTGCTGTTTCTGACTGGTCCTGGTGAAATATTTTATGACTCCTTTTATCTAGAAATATAAAACCAGGTTTACCATGAAAGTTTTCTTGGTGTCTACATCTCTCAGTTTGGCCATTACTGTTATGATTATCACTTGTTGAACCATCTTATTTTTCTTTATCTGATTCATCGTCCGTATTATCATCCAATGCCCTTTAAAAGCAGACACGCAGTATGTTTATTTTAAGAAAGGAGAATGGTGAAGGAATACATATAGGGATTAATAGAGTCTACTTGGCCTGAGAAATGTTCGCTAGATGGAATAGTTGAGAGAAAAATGTATCTAAATTTCAAAAGGTTCTTTACATACATTCCTTGGTCGTCTGGATCTCTTTTAGTTGTTTTTACATGATTTACAAGTTCTTTATCCACCAGATCTCCTCTAGAAAATGAAGGCATCAGAAGATCATGAAGATGAACTGCGGCTTAGCTTACATTGATGACCACACAAGTTGAGTTCGACGAACTGATATATCATATGTTTTTAACTTTTTATAACATTCTGTTATCGATGTCAGTTGACCAGTTCTTGGTTTTGTCCATAAAAGAGTTTTTAATATAACTCTTACTTCTTCATTTTGATCCAAAACAATAAATGAGCCTAAATTAAAATGAAAAGTAACAAAACCAAGTAAACATTCATGAATGTGAGCTGGGCATTGGCTTAAGGTTTTTCAGAAACCTTCTGAAAAACCTCAGAGCATCAGTGTTCTGCTGGACCACTTTTTCGGCGTTGTCAACAACATATGGCATCTTTTAAGCCTTTCCTGAAAATTTCCTTGAGTCAGCATGAGATTTGATCGAGATATAAGGATTTTAATTTTTGGTAGTAACAGGCGAAAAACCGGTTTTTCACAACAATGCCTCTGGCGAAGTTATATTCATTTCTACACA